AGCATAGTGTATGTTAACGGGGTTTAGCTAAATAGGTAGTCCAAGAACCAAAAAAGTGGTACGGGTACCAATTTTATCCGTGCCGTACCAAAAACTGAGCGTAGTGTAAACGGGGCTTTAGACAACACGCTAATCGGATTTAAACTACTTTTAAGTAGTTAATTAATATACTTTTAAGTAGTTAATTGGTATACATTATTGATTAAAATCTCCCATAAGCGGGACATTCTCCTGCCGTACGTCGGCGGGTATTAAAACGGCTTTAAGACCTTCAAAATAAACTCAAAATGCTATCAGAGTAAAGAGAAAAGTGGGTGACAAATCCACTGGTATACGGCCGAAAACAAGAAAATCAACGATATCAAAGTTAGCAAGGATCAAACGTGTTGCATTTCTAACCAGTTTAATAATTTTGAGCGATTTGTCAACAATACAATTTCGCTTGACATTCAAAGGCCATATAAATTGCTGGAATAATGTTGTTTAGTAATTCATTTGACATCCGTAAGTACATGGCATATTGTAAACACTGGACTGGACTTTGGACTGGACTTTGGACTTTGGACTTTCGATTTTGAAATTATATTATTTTTAAGATTTTCGTATAATTATATTAATTAAAATCTAAACAGAGAACGAAAATTTGTGCATGATAATAGTATTCAAGGTAAAAAATACTATCAGTTATATAGGTATACCAGTGCAATTTCATAGATATAGTCTGTGGGATAACAGCTAGGATCATTTCAGTAATATTTTTATTTAATATTTAAATTTTATTATAATATTTGTATTTATATAGTATGTATAGTACAGTTTTCATAGGCGTACGGGACGGGGGGCAGGGGGGGGGGGCAACTGCCCCCCCCAAACAGATTACAAAGTCGAAAATTCGGGCAAATGTTCAACAAAAGTCGGGCAAAAAGTAGTCAAAACAAGAAAATCTGGCCGAATAATAACACCAGTTTGTTTGGTTATTATAAAAATAAATGGTCAATTTTGTGGGGAAATATGTTAATTTTTTAGATTTTTGGGAAAATTTATTTGATGTTTCGAAAAATTTTTGTATGTCCGAAAATTTTTTTGACCCCTAAAATGGTACACTGACCGAAATTTTTTTGGCGACGGGGGGGGGTGGGGGGGAGGTCGCCAAAAATAAATTGTTCCGGAAAAAATTTTCCGGGACTTGTCGGGCACAATCCGAAAAAGTCGGGCAAATTTCTTTCTGCCCCCACAATTTCTTTCCTTCCCGTACGCCTATGACAGTTTATACTGCAGAACTTCTTCTTTATCGTATAGTCGGTATAGATAATAGTTTAGAAACAATTGTGACAAAAGTATCTTGGCAAACACAAAATATTGAGAAGCTATCACGTATATTAAGTATAAACTACACGCGATTATTATTGCGCCTTTGGCTTTGAACAATTATTCGCCAAAGGTGAGACCGTGATTATCGGGGAATCTGTCAAATTTGACCAATCAACTTGACAACTTGTAGGATTTGTTATATATTTATTCACTTGCGCAAAAATACTAACGACGGTATTGTTCATCTTTGCATAATAGTTTACACCGGTTTAGTGCCTGCCTAAATAGGCTGTGTTTCAAATGTGTTTCAATGTATTTTGTCCGTGTCAATTTTAGCTTTTCATAAATGTATTCAGCCATAGTGAACACGAACTCTCATAGTCATCATACTTTATAAAATACGAATGTATGATACATTATTATTAAAATTGGTAGTACTGATTACTTTATGATAATCTGTCTATATTATTGTCTATATTATTGTCTATATATGGCTCTTTTGCGTACGTTATGCTGGGCATTAATCTTTATACTACGATTACGATTCCCACTTGGTTCATCACTTGCAAGTGGTAGTATAGTATTACAGTAAACGTGGCATTTAGTTGCTACCTGAAGCACATAGACATAGATTTTTGCCTTCTCACACACAACTGAGTAGGTCTTAAAAAGTGTGTAAATTTCCGTTCGAATATTCCTATCCATCTACTAACACTTATTAATAATAACTGAATATAACTTAATAATAATAATAATAACTATATTATGTAAAGATGAACAGTCAATAGAATGTATACAACACTCAATAGGCGCAATAATAATCACTTGTATAGTTAATATTTTGTATTTGCCGAGACACTTTTGTCACAATTGTTTCTTTTGTCACAATTAATCTATTATCTATATGATAAAGAAGAAGTTCTGCAGTATAAACTGTACTATGCATATACTATAAATACAAATATTATATAAAATTTAAATATTAAATCCCAAAATATTGTATAATCCTGCTAGCCTACAGGCTATATCCGTATGAAATTGCATTGCTGGTATACCTATATAACTGATATTGAGTATTTTTTACCTTGTATATTATATCATGCATGTGCATGCAGTGCAGCACGCTTTTCAGCAGCAAATTTTCGTTCTCTGTTTAGATTTTAATATAATTAAACGAAAATCTAAAAAATAATATAATTTCAAAATCGAAAGTCCAAAGTCCAAAGTCCATAGTCCAAAGTCCAGTCCAAAGTCCAGTCCAGTGTTTACAATATGCCCTCGACCAATGGAAGGATATGACTGGACAAGACTGTCAAGAAAGGTAAATTGTTTGTTGCTACTTATAATGCAGCGGATTAATTAAGCAATGAATATATTAAAGTCTACTTCGGCAGATGACCGTATACAAGAAATTGTCAAAATAATTGTAGTTCAAACTCACGCAACGAAATTTAATTAAAACCTTTTTTATGATTGCAAGGTAAAGAAAAATCAAACCGATACTTTGCCAAACTCTTTTAGCTTGCTTCGTTCTTGAGACATTTGACAATTTTTGATATTCAAATTATATCCTCACAACGAGGTAGTATAGTTGTATGGGAAGGAAGGCAGCAAAAATAAAGCAAAAGTATTAATAAATAGTCCTGTATATTTCGAATCAAATCTGATTCATCTTCAGCAGTGTTTTGCAAGATATGCCGTTAAACGACATATCTTGCAAAACACTGCTAAAGATGAATCAGATTTGATTCGAAATATACAGTTTTTATAAATTGTGTGTTAATATTACATGCACTCCTTATTCGGAATAACTTTTTTTTTTTGCTGAAATAATCAGCAAGAAAAGGATTATGAAGGCAGCTGCCCCTTCCACCTCGTACGCTTTAATTAAAGCAAGATCTTGCGATATCGTGCATCGAAATAAAACCGCTTGCGTATCACTGTATATACGTGTCAACATATACCACATATATGTTGTAAGTTGTCAAATTTAAAGCAGTAATCTATATAAGTTCTAAACATTTTTTACAAGGCATTATGAAACTATATGTGATGTATATTTTCAACAAAGAAGCAGAAACAAATATTGTCTCTTCAGAAAGTAGAAAGAGTAGACTAATTTATACAAACAGCATCAGTTTTAATGTACGTGATTTTCAGTAAAATGTTATTATTGCGCGCTAAATTGCATAGGCCTAACTATAAGTAATTATAATGGATAAAGAGATTACACAATTTTTTGTAGATTACATTATTAACAATATAAACATTATCCTGACTGAATTAGTTAGGCCACGTTTACATGAGACCGGAACGAAGTCAAACCGGGACCATTTCGTTTCGGTCATATAGTATTATTTATAATAGATGTTTACCTGAGACCTGGCAGAAAATAACTCAGGCCGGTCTCAAGTCATTCCGCCTGCTGGACCGAACCGACTGACTTCGGACCATTATGATTTCAGACCATCATGATTTCAGACCATCATGATTTCAGACCGGGATGAATGTAAACACAAATACATTTCAGACCGGTCTCGGCTGTAACCTTGACATTGGAACAACACATGCTAACAAAAGCCATCTGAAAAAGAAAATTGCCTGGCAAGGGAAATAAATTGAAAATTTTGTGATTTTCGTACCGGTCTCATGTAAACATGTTGACAATTTCAATTTTCATTCCGGTTTGACTTCGTCCCAGTCTCATGTAAACGGGGCCTTAGTGAAATAATGTCAGTTACAGTATAATGAGGTAAACATCATTCATGTAATGATTCACTCATTGACACTATAGTAACACTAATTTAAAGTCACTACTAGGATATCTTGCTGATGAGAAAATGTCTTGCGCTCCATAAAAATTCGTTTGAATATTGTTAATCAGTCCTTAGTTCTATCACATACATGAAGACGATAAAGCTCTAAAAGCAAAGATTGTCAAACTGACTAAAAATATCGTCGATTTTATGGACCACTCGACATAAAAATTTAAGAGATGTTCGATATATTACAGCCGCCTGTTCGCAGGCTATTCCAGCCTGATAATGATGTTTTTCTCAAGCATCTGGATCGTTTCCAATATTATCGAGCACAATACATTTTGACTGGGTTACATGAACCCCCCACACGAACCTTGTTTTACTCCACAAATCTAAAATCAGTATAGAGTATCCTTTTGAGTCAATTTTGAAGCCGGCAGGATATTTTCAATCAAAAACATTTTTGCATGTGGAATAACCATTAAAATCGAATCGTTTAATACAGGTTCAAATTGGTTTTAGTATATGAAGCAAATACCATGTGCAATGTGACTTATAGAGATATAGCTTGCCGTACTTTTTTTAAAGAGTACACGCGCTACTGAGTTCGTGGGACTCGTGCATGGCATTGATGTGACTCTTAGTTATTCATTCAAGTTTGAACAAGAAAGAGAGGTCACTGCAGGCCAATATCTATCAATACAGCATTTCTCCTTTCACACCAATAACTAGGAAATGTTGGGACCTCTTCTAACATGTCAACACCACCACAGGCACAGTAGATTTGTTGTTGTTACCACAATATGGCCGCCATTGGTTTTATTTATGCACAGCAGATGCACTATCCAGCCCCAGCTTTTAGATCAGTGTTTTCTTGTCTGAAAAAACTTCTCAGATTAGTTTATGTGCGCACAAACCACATATTGTATCTTATGTGAAGTATTCCTTAAGGTCAGGTCGCTCTTTCCAATCACATGACCTGACAATTCTGTGAACGTCGACAGGAAGGTTGGGGAAGAGGTTGAGGAAGTACTCTTGGGGATCACCCACTACATAGAATGCTTCGGGTTGAGGCAGTGGACGTGGTCGGTTATGCCAGTGTTGGTTGACATTTCGGATAAGTCGTAAACATTCCGTCCACGACGACTTATAAGAAAATTTTTTTGGTTTCCCGTTCATGAAATCAGTACATAAATACTTCAGAACATCAGGTCTCATCCGAGTTTTCCAATTTATGGGGTCATTATTTAACTCTCGTACGACAGCTGAGTTGTTGTCGCCTGCTTTGATCTCTTCTTGGTTTCCCATTTTGCACAGCATTTCAAACAGCTGTTCCTTGGACTGAAGGTAAGGGTGTTTCAACGCTTGTTCAGCTGACGGTCTATCTTTAGGGTCGTGGTTCAGCATCCAAGATATCAAATCTTTTGCAGCAGGATATTTCTTCAACTTATCCAAATAAACTGGGTTACCATCAAGTAAGTTGCGAAGTCGGTCTGGTTTTCCTCCAAAGGGATGTTCACCTTTAGTCACAATGTAAAATGCCACCATTCCGGCTGCCTAAGTATGATAGAAGAAAATTGTTTTTGTTATCTTTAAAGGTAAGAAAAAATTATGACAAAACACACAACAATACAAAATTCGCGTACGCCAAATATTTTAACACAATCATTTTTGATCTTTAGTTACCAAGTTTTGAAGAATAATACTGTCGACACAAGCATTATCAGAAAAAACGTTGTGTATTTTAATGTCGTCTGCATTTAAACTCTGAAAACTTTGTTAAGGAAAAAGTGAGAGAAAAAGTGACTCAACCATCCAACTTTATGGAAATTTAATAATTCTGAAAACGTTTGTCTGATTTGGATTTGTTTGCGCTTGGTCGCCATGTTTAGGGCTTACAAAATAAGGGATTGGGGATATTATTTCTATGGTTAAACTTCACAATATTCGTTGGAGCTTCACGACACCTTGTTTTGAAAGCAATGTAACTTAATATACTTTTATTCATGTTTAACGTAAAAAAAATCCCTACCTGAATATCGGATTCTTTCTTGTAGCATACTGTGGCATCATCAGTCCCGAAAAGGATAGGATTGAAAGGATGGGATTCAACTGCTATCCAATCTTCCGTTCCCATCGGCTTGCTTCGATGGGTAGTGGCACCTTTCGCTAAGAGTCGACTGATACCGAAGTCTGCCAGCAACCAATCACCATGCACGTCTCGCAAGACGTTGGCTGGTTTTACATCTCAATGCAAAATGGGCTTTGGATCGCGATGGAGATCAGCTAATCCCTTCAAAACTTGCTGAATGATAACTGGCGCATTTGCTACCAGATCTTCCAAACTCTTAGTCTTACCACCAACAAAAGTTTCCAATGTTTCCTCGCATAATTCCATTATTAAAAAGAAGTACTCTTTGTCACTTTCGTCGTCAAAAGAATAATAATTTGCCACATGGTTTGACTTCTTTGCATTGGGTTCGTTCAAAACGTCCTTTTCTTGTTCAGCTAAGCCAGCACAAGCGTCTCTGCGCAAACATTTCACAGCCCTCTCGTATCCATCTTTCCCTAATCCTACATAAACTCGAGTACCATCATTTCCTTTACCAATGAGAAACTCTTTCAAGCAGTAAAAGCGTACTCCGTTAACCTCCTTGATTTCTTTCGGATGGGTTTTTCCATATTCGCGCAGCCTAATAAACTTCTCTCGATGAACTTTCGAATTCTCTTTCCATTTCCACAACTCTATGTTCCCTACAAAATAGACAAAACAAGGCAAATGCCTTAAACAAGGCAGTTCGTTGTTTCGACTGTGCATCCAAAACAGCCGTCAACAGGTCGTTATATTCAACGGGGTTTATAATAGAAGCCAGGCTGGCCAGGCCAGCTAATTCACTTCACTTGATAGTTGCCTCGTTTGAAATAAAAAAGCCGGAGGATCACAAAGTGTCTTCGGCGTCTGGATATCATTAAAACCAAGTGCTATTTTTTATAAAACGTTTACAATTCCTGCCTGATTCTTTATTTAAATTTTGTTGACGAGGTACATGATGGTACTGTCGCGAGTATTATTAATTGTGTGAACATTCCTATTCTTTTTATTCGTCAGTTCGTCTTCATCTTACTCTAATTCTTTTAGATTTCTTCCACTTTTATGAAAATTTACATGAAAATGGGAGGTTAAGGATCTTCTTAACTTCTCTGATACCAAATTTTACTCGTTTTACTAAGCCTGTGAGTGCAAAAGGATGTATTTTTAAGCAAAATAAAAATTGGCTGTGGCACAGAATTGGGTTTATATGCAAAACGCAATTTCAGGTCATTGCATGGGGCAGACTATAGTTAGCAGAGTATCCTTTTCACGGCGGAGAGAAAGGATACTCTGCCGAAATTGTGTACTATTCCATTTGAGCATGCGCAACCGTGGAGCATGCGCAGCCGTTGCTCTTCAACATATCGCTCCCGCGTTTCGTTATTTACGCGGGACGTTTACGCTGAACTCTAACAATGAATAAAGAAAACTTTTCAAAATGTACTCCTATCAAAAAAGGAAAGCGCCACCGAATGGCTGATAAAGATTATGTATGTTTATGTTGTGGGACTATACTAGTTGGTATACGGTGCACATATAATTTAACAACGTGCGACGGGGTTCTAGAGAAACTGGAAAAGTCGTTGGAATGTCAGATAAACATTGACGAAAATTCGTCTTGGTTGTGCAAGTCCTGTTTTCGCAAAATTGACTCCCTAACTAAGCGATCTTTAGTTCTTGAAGCAGACATAAAAGAATTGCGAACTAAATGCAACTTGTATGCTTTGCCTTTGTCTTCGCAAACGCCGGAATGTACATCACCAAAAGTGCAAGTTTATACACAAGTCATCAAAAGATGTGCTAAGTCAAGTCCTCATCGTGCGAAAAAGCGAGCTAGAGGACCGTTGTTCGAATCTCCAGCTGAAAATGATTTTAATTCTAATTTCACGCCACTATATGTAAATGAAGATGTAAATGACCGTTCGTGCGACCAAATAGCGTCGACTGAAAATGAAGTAAATACACGTTCTGTCGAGGTAAGATATTGTTTTTGTCTCGGTATAATCCTTTAAAGCTTTGCATATAAAAGTGGAAATAAACAGATTGTTATTTATATGTGTAATTGATACATGCAGTGATGCAGAAGAATATCCAGTCACTGTATTAAATGGATGATTCCAGCTATCGACTAATTTTTTATCTGGACAAGAAAGACGAAATCTCAGATCATTATAGCTCAAAAGAGCATCCTAAAATTAGTAAAATTGCAAAGTTTTGGTTGTGAACTGTTGTAAAATACGAAAAATATAGCTCTGTGTCTGTGAAATTAGCATCAAATTGGTGCATTTTTCTGTGAGTAATACTAAAATACTCAACATTTGCTAATTTCACATGGTTATAACTTATATGTTTTGTATTCTACATTTTGCAACCAAATTTGGCAATTTTACTAATTTAAAAATGTTCTTTCAAGCTATAAATATAAGTGATAGATTTTATCCTTCTTGTATGGATCAAAACGTAGTCTATACGACTATACCTGGAATCATCATTTTAAACACCGCATGTTTATTTTTAAATTGCTAAATTTAAACTATAATTATAAATTGAAAATTTCTATTCAAAACAATTTAGCTGTGCATGTTTATAATTGTCAAGTGATACTATTGCGCTTTTTTAATAGTCAAATAAAGTGCACAACTTCGACCGAAAACTTAAATTAGATGGTTTCGATGTCTTGGCCTTGGGCCGTGGTTAATAATATAACGAAGACAAAAACTAAGATACAAAACAAATAAGCATTGGCTCGCTAAGATAATGCGTAATGAATAATATGTCAATTTCAATCAACATTTTTGGTGTTCATTAACGAATA